AAATGGTCTGATCATGTTCTATGTTGATCACGAATATACATGCTCAGGATCATGTTCTATGTTGATCACGAATGTACAAGCTCAGTACTAATCATGTTCTATGTTGATCACGAATAAACACGCTCAGTAGGAGTTGTGTATGCTAAATAGTGAAGATTAGTGTGGTTATATATGCTAAATTAGTGTGGTTAATTTCAATTTAATTAAAATTAAGACGTAATTATTACGATATTAGATAAAAAAAATAAAGAATCTTTTGTAGTTGTTTTTTTTTCCTTTGTTTCTTTGGACAGCAATAGTGAGGTTGGATTTAACACATTGAGAAGGAATCTTGAATTAAATTTTTACACATAAATATTGAATTTTATGAAATTGGACCAAAGCTAAAGAGATTCCATAGGCATATGGGCACTAGCCAAACTTTTAATCTATTAAAAATAATAGGCTGGCTCACTCTATAATTATTGCATCTTTTTTTAAAGGTATATTCCAAATTATTATTCTCTCTCTTTTATTCATTTTTTTTTTGTCTGAAGTCAATTTATATTAAAATTTGTCATTTTTAACTATGATAAAACATGATAAATATTTATCTGTATCGAGTATAAAAATGATAATATCATAGTTAATTGGTGTATTTTGTAATATGTTCATGATTAAAAGTAGTAATATATTCAAGATTTTCTACTTTACTTAGAAACTACAAAATATGTTTCTTGAGAACGTATTCAAAGGAGAAAATTGAAACAATTTGGTTGAAAAAGACTCGCAAATTAAAATACAAATTTGAATAGTATCGAAGGAATAGGATAATTAATATGTCCTATTTGTTTGACTATTAAAGGTCAAATTTTTATTATAAAATTCTAGCTTTAAAGTCTCCTGTTTATTTTAAGACAAAGACGGGACTATTATTTTAATTATTTAATATATTTGAAAATTTCAAATGTCATCAAAATGTTAAGAAAAATTGGTCCACCATGAAATAACTTTTTGGTTTATTTTCTTTGATAGCAAGTTTTGATTTATAAATTTTTTCTGAAAATCATTTATGGGTATTTTAGAAATAAATAATATTTTTTTAAAAAAAATAATTGGTGGTTGGATGATATTTTTTCGTATGAAGGCATTTAAATTCTTGCAAACTCTATAAACGTGTTGACTATTTAATGACAAAAAAAAAAGAAATTGAAAGTGAAATTCTTAAGGTCAATACAAATTAAAATATACTACTATGACTATTTTTTTTTTAAAAAAATGAAACATATTTTTACCAAACTGAAATGTTAAATACATTCCTAGACCATTTTAAGATAGGTTAATTTTTGCTATTAACTAATTTTTTATCACGTTTAATTGACTCGTCTTAAAAATTAATCAACCATTAAAAAAATATTATATCCCTTTTTTCTCCAACTAATTAGGAAATGAAATCCTTGTTTATTTGATTTGGTTTTCATAGAGTAAGGGGATTTTACAAGTTACAACATAATAATGAAATTTCTAAATTTGATTTTGACTCAAAAGTATATACAAAACGTCTTTTAATCTGAATTTGGTGTCAAGCACTTCTCATCACACAAATAATTGTCTAGATAATTAATTAATTAATACCTAATAATGTTACAATATTTACAAAAATGAAAGATTAGTTATTTTTCCATTTTTATTTTCCTTTTTTTCCTTAAGTAGTCAAAATATTGACTACAAATTAATCTAGTAATCATCACCATTAAAACTATTCCTTAAACTTAATGTTCTTAATGAGATACATACTTTTTTTAAAATAAAACAGATAATTAAAATAAACGAGAAACATTTATCAATGAGAAATTTATTGTTATATAACATGAGTCCCTTCCCTTTAATTCTCCATCGAATAAGTTCACTGAGAGATGCATAGTAAAAAAACGAATTTTCACTAAAATAGTGAAAAAAAATTCTAATTTTTTCATATAAAATAATTATGTTCTTTTTCCATACCAGTTCAATTAAAATATCTATAAAAATAATCACTAAACATTTTTTCTAAATAAAAAGTAATAATTGTTTAGTAGTATATATTTTTTGTTACGTAATACATATTGTGCTTGATTTCTAATTATCATTATAGCACAAATTAAAGTTGAAAATTTTCACGTAAAAAAAGTTAAGCAATTGGGATTATTTCATCAAAAAGTTAAAATATATTTTGCTAAATAATCAAAAGTTACAAAGAAAGAACTTCTAATTTATTTTAAAGATGTTTATCCCTAATTCCCCACTAACTCAATCTCTTTTCTTTAGTCAACCACTTTATTTTTCCAATTTTTTCCCCCAAGAATAAAAAATTAATGCTTCATTATTGATTAATGATTGAACCTATTTATTATGGTACTAATTAAAGTGTACCTCTTGTACCAGTAGATCTAAACTATTTTGATATTTTTTTTTATGGTGGGTGGGGGGAATTAAACTAGTCAATTAAAATCAGTTAAATGACCTAATTTTAGGTTTGGTATATATTAGAGATATTTACAATAATAGTAATAAAAACAATTTATTAGTTCTAACAATAATGATAATGATGATATATGTATATAGACTATGGTTATGACTTCCTTGCATTGGATTCCAATAGTCTTAGGATACTCAAATTATAAGGTTTATTATAAAATAAGGATATGTTTTATTAATGAAGAGATGAAAATATTCCCAATTTGGTGAAATTAATTAAAATATGATCACTAGCCCCAAAATTAAGAAACCTTCCATGTGCACTTTCTCCCACATGCATTTTTAAGTTTAGGAGAAGTCATGAGTGGTTTAGTATTTAAAATTTACTAATTCAATTAATTAAGATTTGCGTTAAAATATTCATTTATTTTTTGAATTAAGTATGACGATATATCAATCAATGCTCTTTCTTGTTTGTTTTTAAACTCACTCATAGGGGTTCGGGGCTTCTCAGCCATTGGCATCCGATCTCAATTTTCATTTAATCTGACTTCAAACGATCATCATATCATGTGAGAAATAGTTTGCGTCAATATACTTAAAGTGCCGAAAATTCTATCTCGATACTTTATTTTATAACAATCATTTGGTTTGCAAGTTTGTTACTCCATTCTTTCTTCTAGAATTGTATGCACATATTGTTGTCAACTAGAGCACTATAATGGTTGAGATCATGCATGTCTATCCTTAAAAAAGATAGATGCAATAGTCAAAAGATATACATTAAAAAGTGTAGATAGCAAACTAAAAAGTAGGATAACTTTAAGAGATGTGGATATTATATTCTTCTTATATTAGTTCTTATTATATAAAATATATATGAATTCTCCAAATGTGACAAATTCCATTTCCTCTTCTATCTATCTCTATCTCCAGTTGAGCACTAAATTCCCATTCTTGAAAATGGAAAAATTGTACTGATTACTTTTGAGCTCCCACAACTTGCAATTGATTTTGACTCTGTAAGAATAATGTATTTAAAAAATTAATAAATGTACTTCATTGTTTTATATTAATCGATCATTATATTTAAAATAGTTATTTTATAGGGCAACTTTCACATATAGCAAATAAAAAATTCATATTTGTATGCTATAGCAAACTTTGCATAATTGCGCTCCATAGCAAACATAAAACTGTATAATTTACTATACATATACAATTGTATGATTCGTTGGCCTAAATTGTATAATTCGCTGGCCTAAATTGTATTATTCGCTGGTCTAAATTGTATAATTCGCTGGCCTATTTCGCTGCAATTGTATAATTTGTTTTGCATACAGTTGAATCGAATTAAAATGTATGTATATTGCATAATTATAAGTGTATAGCAAGAAATATATATTTTTCTCGCTTTATACAAAAATAGAAACACAATATATACACTTCTGTTGTATAAAGCTAAAGAAAATTGTATTTCACTGCAATTGTATAATTCGCAATTGTATAATTCGTTGGCCTTTTTTTCTGCAATATTTGAAGTAAAATGTTTGTAAATTGTATAATTAAGTGTTTAACACGAAGATATACATTTTTGCATGTGTATATACAATTTTCTCTCGCTTTATACAAAACAGAAACAGAATTATACACTTCTGTGTATAAAGCGAGAGAGGCGAGCGAGAACGGAGAGTGGCGAGCGAGATTTTTGGGAGAGAGACGCTGGCAAATTTTAGCTAATGTTTGCTATGGAGCACAATTAAATCAAACCCTAGCTATTCCATTTAATTTAGGTTATTATTTTGCTATTATATACAATTTTCCCTATTTTATATTAGTTGATCATCTTACTATATCAAGAAAATATTAATTAAAATTTTACTATATCACACTTGCAATTATTCTTTTTAAAAGTGTTCGCATTTGTTTGTAAAATTTTCAATAATTAATTTTTTTAAGAGATGAATTATTAAAATTATTTTTTTATTTATGATTTTTGAAACACCGTATAAAATAAAAAATTATCAACTAAGATAAGATAGAGAACGTATTAGTTATAATATTATTTAATCTTTTATGTGATAGAAATTAATACATAACAAACTATAATATTACCAATATAAGGGCAACTAGTACTTGACAAACGTAATTAAAGACAAAATTGTTATTAATGCACCAAGTCAAAATAATGTATAAGAAATTAACATAAATAATTTTAATATTACTATACACTTTATTTAGTATAATTCTTATACTCCACTAATGAATTGGACTATCAAAACATCTAAAATAATAATTAACAGATACACCTTATTCAATAATATCATCAGAGTAATTTTCTTAAATAGTCATCTATGTTTGAAAAATTACCTCGAAATATTACTTATGTTTGTTTTAGGACTATAATATCACCTAACATTGTCTATTTTCTTCAATATACTTGACACACAAAATAAATTATATCTCTCCTACTAGAATGTCATGTCACATTATTCTCATTTATTTAAAATTTATTTTAGACAATCCATATATTATGCCCAGTAAAAATGAAATTACATAAGAAATTGAAATATGAGTTCTTCTTATTCTTCAAAAAAATATGTGGTCTCCTCCGGTTCTTCAAGAAATAAATTAACGAATTTGTATATGGAATTGTCTCCTAAGTCATTGTATACCTTTGATGCCAACCAAAAAAATCGCCACAAGGTAAAATTCAAATTTTCTTCTGACCTTTTTATTTTTGAAGTGTAAATTGTGAAATAATTTGAATACTTAACATGATGATGGAGTAATTTTCTTAAAATTAGGTTTTTTTTGCTTGCTTGTCTTTAATCAGATATTTCTATTGTTTGAATGTGACTAAGCTTTGAACAAATGTTTATAGTTTGTGTAAGACCCTTTTTTTTTTTTACTATGAACAAGAAACCTTTGATTTTTACCGTGAACAAGCAACATATGTTTATAGTTTATGTACAAATTAATGTTCTTAATATCTAGTTTATCTCTAAATATCCAACTAAATTATTGTCTTCTTTATCGGCTACAAGGAACTAGTTTAATTTTTTCCTCGGCCGTAAGACTAAATTTTTATATGAATATAACGACAAATACTTGTAAATAAAACACAGGTTAAAAATTTTCGCTATAAAATTTAAGTAACTAGATTTTTATAGAGAATTGATTAATGCTCTCTTATAGAACATTAAACAAGCTGTCATTTAACATTAAAAAAATATTACTTATAAATTAAACATGGCACATAGGAAAGAGATACTGTATTTTTTGTGTCAAATAAATTTTGCAAAAAATAGATAAAATTGAGTGATATTGTAATCCTAAAACAAATATAAATGATATTTTTAGTAATTTTCCAAACATAAATGACTATCTAGAAAAATTACTCACACTCTCTAATAATATCAGAGATGAAAATACTCCACTAATCAATAGGACATATGAATCATTTAGAATTAGAATTCAAAAAGTAATATACAAGATACTATCTTTTTGACAAAAAAAAAGAGAATAATTATGCAGTGTGCTCAAACAGTTTATGAAAACAAGTTAAAGATGTCTATTTTAAAAATAATAAACTCTATACCTACTTAGGAAAAAATATATAAAAAAATACTCAGTAAGTATAAAATATTTTAAACATTTGCAATATACAAAAATAATATCATTCAATTATTCTTCTTAAACTAAAATGTGGATCATATATTCTGAAAGTATAACAATGCATGTTGAAGTTTCGTATTAAATCGAAATATTTATCGTTCATTATGCTATTATATAATCAAGAGAAATCTTAGATATGAAAATAAAATAAAATACCCAAACATTAATCTATAAAATTTGATTTTTTTTTGGTATGGATTTTGTGTTCCTTCAAATTATATTTTATTTTTGCTCGTCCTAACTTGATAAGTTTTACAAATATAGTAAAATATTTAATGATTACCTTAAAAGTTTAGATTTCATTTTAATTATTAGTTTACCTTAAAAGGTTATAGAATTCATTTTAACTTAAAAGTACAGATTTCATTTATTTTATTTAATTATATACCTTAAAAGTCTTTATTTTATTTTATTTACTAATTTAACTTTAAATTAGTCTAGATTTTTGTATGCTATATTAAGCATAAAATTCATTGTGTTCCCTATTTTTACTATGATGAAAAGATCACCTTCCCATATAATATTTGGAAAGATAATTAATGCAACGATTTTTTTTATGTATATAAATAGTTGTAACTCTCCCTTCAAGTATATCATTTCTCATAAAAGAGTTCATCAATAATTTTTTAACTATTTTGTTTATAAAGTTAGTCATGGAGAATAAGAAGAGTAGAGGACGTCAAAAAATACCAATGAAAAAAATAGAAAAACTAGGTGACTTATATGCTAGCTTCTCAAAGCGCCGTTTGAGTTTGTATAAAAAAGCTAGCGATCTCGTTTTTGAATGTGATGTGGACATTGGAATGATATATTTTTCTCCTAAAGGTAATCCTTACTCATTTTTTCATCCAAATGTTAATACCGTTGTTTCTCGTTTTCAGAATCCTGATATGGAATTCAGTGAAAGTGATCTTCTGATCACGACTGATAACCAAGTAAAAGTGAAGGAACTCAAAAGCAGGCTTGATGAACTTGATATCATAGAAGACATTGCAATTGCTACGAAGAAATCATATGATGAAGTGATTAAAGCTAGAAAGAGAGGTTGGTGGGAGTCGATTGAGCAGCTTAATGAACCTCAAGTAACCAAGTTTGAAGCTTGGATGGATACTATTATTTTTAACATGCAGAATCGTTTGAATGAAATGGAAAATGGAGCTTCGTCCTCATAATTAAAATGTGAAGCTTGAAGCAAAATTCAAATCATAGATGAAATTATCACATATAGAAATATTGGTGAAAACCCTAGAAAGTTCATATTTACAATATTGAGATGTTTGTTTTTGTTTTTGGTTTATTTCATTTCAATGTTTCAACATTCCTGTGCTTTGCTATGATTTCTATAATAATATTTGATATAATTAAGAATTTCTACCTTTTTGGCCAAATTTTCTGGCCATTTAGCATTACCCGTGTAGATTTAAAATTTGAAGAAAGAGTTTGGTGATTCTTAAAATTAAGTTTTGGAATTTGTATTTAATCGGCAATTGATGTAAAGTTATCCATGCACCGATGAGACATTAAGACTAATTCTGGAACAATGTAACGTTTTTCCATATTTCTTATTCTCCGTTCTCAGTTAAACTGCATCATATAAATTGAAAACCGAAGCCAAGTAGTAAATCTCTAATATTATTTTGATTTGAAGAATCCCATTTCAAATATGACCCATCTCATGTTACCTAGCAAATCCACAACTAGGATGAGACATCTTAAAAATATTATATTATACAATAGTAATGTAATTTCTATGTCGAAACACATCTTTTTCCATAAGTAATTACCCAAAAATAAAATAAAATAGGTTATGTTGATCAATTGCAGCTCCAGAGTGACTTATCACTTTGTAAATATTCAAAGGAGATATTATATTCCCTTCTCTTTTTTCTTTTGATATACTGAGGAACTTAGAGAAAAAATCCAGGCATTTTGTATGCACAATTTGACTACTACAATTACGACGATTTACCCTCATTCTTATACAAGGATTGTCGATGCTCTACGAGTTATATATATACACGGAGATAACAAAAGGGGGTTGATAGGAGCTTGTATAATCTTTAAGAAAGCAAAAAAGAAGCAGGAAATCCACGATTTCTTACAGAGGTCGCAAGAGAGGGTAATCCTCAAGAAGTTGTCGTTCTGATAATGTGTCGTTTTCGTTCTGTGGAGTCCATAAAATCTCGACTGCCTGCAACAAAGTAAATGTCACAAATTAGAAACTAGAAGTAACATAAAACGTCTTGCTTCTGGATGACCATTTCGTTCACTTACCAGTGTTCTACTGGAAGGAATAGACGCAATCTTTTGCAATGCTTCTTTCAAGTCTCCACTTCCGTTAATAGTAGGCAATTTATAAGCACCTTCAGCAGCAACCAAGATTGTAACCTGAAATTGCACATACGAACACTAAAATGAGTGTCGTGCAACGGATGGATCACTAGTGTGTAAAGTATAAGTCCAATGGCGAAAATTGATTCCCAAAGAAAATGGTAACGACACAAAAACTAAAACATCAACTAAAGAATAGAACAATATACCCTTCGAGGTGGTCCAGTGTGGTTTGAGCTAGGGACTTCCATGTTGGAGGTCTCAAGTTCGAAACCCCTTGCCAGCGAAAGCAAAGAGTTTGCCTTCTGGATCGAGCTCGTGCCTGGTGCGGGTTACCTCTCCTATGTGGTTTACGAGCTACTGCATAGGGGCGGGTTTTACCCTGTACGCACCCAAAAGGGTAGCGGCTGCGGGTTTCCCTTGTCGTAAAAAAGAAAGAATAGAACAATATATACATTGCAAGTATACATGCTCTAGAATATATCAGAAGATAGACATTTGTTTTTCATATCAAATGCAGAGCTCTCAGAATTTTCTTCCGATGAGGGCCATCGTCAACAAAGTCCATCTTAACAAATCACTATGCCCTAAATTGAAAACAAAGATACGTCTACATAGTTTTTATTAAATCAATGACATAATTCATTCACATTGAATGTTCTCCTTATTAGTTACATCATTATTTTCCAACGACCTACAAACTAATGAGATCTTTTACACCGGTCAGCAGCAAAAATCAAGTATAAGAGAAAAAATCCCTTCAGCAGTTGAAATGTAAGAACCTTTGCACTATGTGTCAATAGCCAAACATCACATAAATGGTATCCCCACAAGCTATGTCCACACAGAATTAACAAAGGGTGATAATGATGAACATCAGTGAGGAAAGTCCCAGGCTGCACTCACTCAGAATGTTTAATCTGATCTCTTGAAATAGTTCTCACCATGCAAAGAAATGAAAAGAAATGTGTGTAATCTTCATGCAACATCTAACAAGATAAATTGGAAAGTGTACAGGCACTGATGATGAAGACTGGAAGAGTAAAAGAACCAGCCATATATCAAAGGAACAAAGAGATCACAATAGATAAGGCTAAAGATCTATACCCCTGTACAATTCAGAAATGCCTATACAGAAGATCTTATAACACACCTTTTTATTATCTGACTTATTTGATTGGCAATCTACCATATGGGGGGCTCAGGGAGGGTGTTGTGGGGCTCTCGAAACTTAGCCTATAGACTTACTAATACCAACAACACACTAATATAAGACCTCCCGACATTCAGAAAGGCATTTTTTAGGGATAAGGTTCCACGTTAATTAAAGCTTTCCTTAATGGAACTAAGGGAGCCTCAAAAATCAAAGCAGGCCTTCACATTCCTACAATTCGGCCCAAAAATAGCCTAAAATTTCAAATAAAAAAAGTGCTATGCAAGGTCATCCTTACCACTATGTATTCATTGCTAAATCCAGTTGCCCTCTGGCTCGTAGAGCTTTTCCTTCTAATGTTGTTCACATTCACAAGTGTCTCTTCATCAAATTTACCACGTTCCTCAATGGAAAGTTGATTGAATCGATTTTCACCTTCCTCCATGCTCCTCTTGACATCAACCTGCACGACAGACGCAACAAATATACTCAGCAGGATGACAAAATTTGAAAGACTTCCCTGATATGCATTGGTGTGAAAATGCAATAGTGGAGAAAGACAAAACAACAAAACACAACAGCCAAAAAAAATAATAACACACTGAAAACTCTCCTGATATATGGTCTTTGGCCCAGAAAATATAGATCATGAACGAAACAGCAACTTACTGTTACCAATATTCCCCAAATTTACAGCAACAATCATTTATGATGTAAAATTAAGATGAAGCACTGTAAATACAAAGTCATGGCCGTTATAAAAGCTATTTCATATAAGGATTCTTTTTGCCGGTTAAGTAAGTATTTTATTGATGTATAGCAAAAAAAAACAGCATTAAGGAAGTGCTGATGAAAACTGTTTCATATAAGGATTATGATTCTTTTTCACTAGGTATGCAACAAAAGAAAAAATTGCAACCAGAAAAGAGAGGATTTAAGTACCGCGAATTCTACTAAATATATCACAATTGTATACAGCAGAAGGATTCTCTGAAGAAACAAAGCACCAATATGATGAAACTAGAAGGATCCAATTATGACGACAATGTTTCACAAAGATGCAAGAGATGGATACAAATTGACTTCTGATATAATCAATGGATGTAGATAAAATTAGGAGTCTGAAAGGAGCTCTTTCAGACTTTCACAATATCATAGTTTCTCCCAAATTTTGAGTTGCCTACTGAAATTATCTGTCCAGAGAGGCAGAGACTAACAGAGTAAAGAACTTTATTCTACCTAGCCAACTATACCACACTTCTAACTCATTTAGTTTTTTAGTTCATCTAGAATCCTGAGACTTAAAAGATGTTTCTTAGAGTACAAAGTTCATCAGGAGAAAACATCTTTTTCGTTTAATATGAAAGGGAAACCCGCAACCGCTACCCTTTGGGTGCACACGGGGTAAAACCCTGCTCTATCAGGAGAAAACATATGATAATTACTTATTATAAAATTAAGGCAATAAGGCCCAAAGGAAGCTATTATATTCAGTGGCTCACTTAAAAATAAAATAAAAGGTTGAACTTCATAAAGATCAAGTTTTCACTTCAGTTTTAATGAACACCAAGTATAAAAATAATAATGGCACAATGAGCACATTAACAGCCTAAAGCTCATTTTTCACTCATTAAGTGTTGTGACCTGGATATTCTTTGCTGATTTTACTTCTGGTTTGGACTAATATATAGCTGAAAGGATTTTGACATTTGTACATTGAAATTGCCTCCTCATGCAAATTAAGGACATGGACATGGCTTTTAGCAGTTAAATGAGTATGAGGTTTTTAGTGTGTTCCACAGAAAGGAGAGAAGGACTAGGTGACAGAAAGAGCCCAGTAAAAAGTATCCATTAAGAAACAAGAGGGTGCACAAATCTCGTTTTTCTTTATCAAATTTTGAGCCCCACAACAATATACCAAGGCTTTATTGGACTTGGTAGCACATAGCAGAATGCATGACACCATTACTATATGAGGAGTCAAACCTTTTTTTAATTTTAACTTTTCCGTATTTGTGATATAATTTCTCTTTAAGAATTTTTTATTTTCCAAAAATTAAGAATTGTTATCAAAACTGAGGCCTATAACTTGACCCTTGTACAAAGATTCCACTCATTCATTTTTTAAAATGGAGAGAGTATAGAAGTGAAAAGGCAAACTGAAGTCAAAAAGAGGTCCTAAACTTCACTTTAAAAAGTCTTATGGATTTTAGCTGGTTTAAGAAGTAAAATATCATAAATCCATGTCTGACTCAATCAAATCAAGAGCAAAAATGAGAGAACAAAGAAAATTAATGCTATTGCAAATTTTGGATGATGATCTGGGTAAAAAAGGACAAAGGTTCATTATTTTGCCACTACCACAGTTTAACAACACATAACCAGACATCAGAAAGCACATAAAAGAATTGCATTCACTTACAGATGAATAAGCTGAAATGCAATAACCAGGGTGTCGAAGCAAAGCTAATGTCGTCTCTGCAACAAAAACAATCCTAAATCAATAAATCAATCAATGTAAGAACAAATAATTCCACACAGAGCAACAGTAGAAAACCATGTGCAAATTTTCAGTCTTTAGATAAGTAGGCTTAGGCCAATTAAACAAGGAACAAAAGGACTTTTTCATTGTTAACAAGAAAAAAAAGGCTGAAGAAAATGGTATAAAGGATATGTGAGAAAAAGCCATCAGAGGTATGAGAGAACCGTGGAGGGACACAAAGGAGTTTTCCATGACTGTTGGTTCGAGTATAAGGAAAAGAAAGATAAAATACATAAACTGAGAGTTAAGTCCGCCTAAAAGAATGAAGTTGAGGTGAAACTAGAAGGGTTAGTTGCATACAAATACTTCAGATGGCAATGCTTGGTCCATATATATATCCCCAAGATA